GAAAAATTTACCTATTTTCCTTGAAAAAAGAATCTCGGTGCAACTTCTCCTAATTATAATTTCTGGAATTATTTTTATAGCTTAACGTCAATCCAGTCGAAAACCACTCAAACCTATTGGTATAAGAAAATTTGAAATCTTACTCATGAAAATAAAAAGGAAAATTTTTTAATACATGAATTATCTAGGCAATAAACTTCAGAATTTTCAAATGTAAGGAATCATAAGTAAAAGGAATTTTGCAAAACGAGCACTGCTTCTGACACCATATTCTGGCACCATCTGCAATCCTAATCGTCTCATATGGGCTGTCAGTTTCTGACATGACAAATGACGCTGCATAAGGGTAACAGTGAGGGTGGATGGGAGTAAGAATTCCGTTGATGAAGATATAGCTCAAGCTAATTTAGTCTTCCTTTTGGAATGTTGTGTGGTTTTCTATATAATAAATCACAGCTACGCTCACAGAGATGGATGACCTGGGTGTATACTCCATCTAAATCCAAAGAGAGATGCACCGGTGTGGTGATTTATGTTGTCATTTCACACGAATAAAACGTGATAAGATATGTTGATGAAAAAAAAAAATGCATTTCCAAACAAGAATTAGATTTCAAAGATATGGAAAAACCTCTAAGGCTTCATTAAATAATATTGCTTGGGGTAAACTTCAAAATAGTTCTCAAACTATTCGTACATGACCAATTTAATTCCAGAGTATCATGTTTCTCCAATTTAATCCCTCGAATAAATAAATTGATCCAGAATGATCCCTTTGAGAATAAATTGAGATCAACTTTATATAATCAAGGGATTAAATTAGGATCAATTTTATATAACAATTACATTATGAGGGACCATTTCAGATCAATGTTGTATAGTTGAACTAACTAAAAAAACGTTACAATCTAGGCCTAATTTGGATGCAAACGAAATGTCTGAGAACTATTTTGTGATTTTGTACAAAATTTCTTACTATTTTACTTTTTAAATTTTTTAATATCAAAATTTTAATAGTATGAGACTAATACAATGGAGGACATAAATTGCATGTGCACAAGCTCTATGGCATCAAGATCATGAGCAATGCATTTACAGGAAAACTAGCCCAACTCAAGGATATTAACAGTGAGTTAATTTCATTAAACTTACAGTTAGTGATAGTTGTGCCTGAGGGGTCAAATCCCGATATTTGGTGCTCAATGTGATCAGCTCATTCCAGCAATACGGTTGCCCGGAAGATTCTAGTCTGGCATATAATAGAAAATAACCTCGCTTGTTAGCAAAGGAAATCATTGGATCCCATCCACATTTATATTTCATTGTGGATATACAAAAGAGAACAATCAAACCTAGTTCTGGTGGGTAGACCAAAGAGGGCACCATCTATATGCAGAGCACATTCAACAAATAGCTCCGCATTCCTGCTTCCTGCTGCAGAATCAACCTCTGAAAAGTGAAGCAAATCAAAAGTGAAACCAAGGAATATAAACTTGTCCAGCGCAGGTAGCAGTCTTCAACTCAAACAAAAAAAGAAAGAAAATTCACTCTGATATCGTACATCCCAAATATAACCCATACAGTGCACTACTTATGAGTTGAAGTTTACATTTTTTTTAAAAAAGTTTACATCCTCATGATTTATTACTTGTAGGTTGTCAAGATTAATAATTCATTTTCTTTGATAAACTATATAATAAGTTCAATTAAAGTTGAAGCACTTTCTGATTATACAAATTAAATGAAAAAATGACTAAAATGGTCCCTTGACTCTTTATTAAGGACCAAAATGATCCACAACTATATTAAAAGATTACTTTGATTCATTTTTAAAGATTTGAGGGACAATAATGGTTCTTTAATATAGTTTGAATCATTTTGGTCCTTAATAAATAGTCAAAGGACCATTGTGATCCTTTTTCCAAATTAAATACACATTAGCACAATATCAGGATTTATAAACTTTAGATTTAAGAAATTGCAAAGCCGAGATTAAAAACCTTGCTTCAACAAAATTGACTCTTATATATGCCAAAAAACACAAGGGTTCTTTCTGACATACAACTAGAATTACCAACTTTATCGTTCATTTACCCGGCGATGTAAAGCAAACCAAGGTGCAAGATACACAAAGAACTCTAGCTACTGAAATTAGAGAAGCATGAAGCATGAGTTCAGCACAAGCATTCTAAGAAAAAGTGAACCCAAAAAATGGAGACTTTCACTCCAACATCATCCTGCCCGATTGCAAAACCTAGAGTTATTATTTTAAACAAAAAAGTGCATTCCATAAAAACCTCAATACTCATTCATATAAGGTCCGTTTAAGTTCATTCATTTATATAAGTGAACAAGCTTGAACAAGATTTTAGAAGTTCATAATATAAATTGATAAACTTAACCAATCACTCAATTGTTCATTTATGTTTGTGAATATACTCATTTATTGTTTAACATGTAGCTCACTAAGAATACAATGAAATGCTCATTTAATAATAGCTTAATGACTTATTTGATAGTGTAGACTGTATTGTTGAATCAATTTTCATATATCTTATACATTTTAAAATTATCTATATTACTACAGGTAAAGTATGATGAAAATTTCAAATAATTAGTTAGACATGAATATATTAACTTCTTCTTATTAATATTTAAACTTCATCAAATAACTTAAATAATATCTAATGAATTATGTCAATTTAATTAAATATATAAATCTAACTATTTTTAATAATTAGTATGTATGCTTAAATCATTAAAATATAAAATATAATTAATTAGGCTCAACTTCGGCTCAAACTCGATATAAAATTAACAAACAAGTTTTAAAACCATCATAAAACTTGGGTCATGCTCAAGCTCAGCTTGCAATGGATAACAAAATAAATGAAGGAGGCAAGATAATACTCACCTCAACTATTCAGTTACAGCCTTATCGAGAGTTCACTGGTTATTATAAATCAAAAAAAGCACCCACTCATGGCCATCCAAAAACTTACATAATAAAACTCTTTCGGGCAATAATTACAGCCAAAGTTACCAGTTCTCATCATTCATTAACAAACTTCACCCCACAAACTACTCTAATTTCTCAATCCAGCAAGCATGAAACCCAAACTCAGCACAATCAAAATATCAAAAAAATTAAAGTTTCAGGCATAGAGAAAGGAGAAATATGGGACAAGTAAAAGCAACTGCACCGGACACAACATTTTCTCCATTGTGTCCTATTAAAAGTCAAATTATCGTTTAAATCTAATAAAGAAAGGTCATTCCTAATATTTTCTAAGGTCATCTCCAACCGAGAACTCTATTTTTCACGCCAAAATACCGCAAATAGCGTGGTGCTGCTCCAATCCAACGCCATTTTTTTGCTTCTGCGCCAAGGTAATGGCCTTTCTCCTTTCCCGTATTTTTCCGGTTGACAGAGAAAAATGGCATGGGTGAACAGTGCAACGTCCGCAAGCAAATGGAGGATTTTATTTGGCGTTCGGTTGGAGATGCCCTAACCAAGTCTTTTTAGGTCTACCCCTATATTTCTTAACATAAGTCAAAAATTAAAGTTTCAGGCATAGAGAAAGGAGAAATATGGGACAAGTAAAAGCAACTGCACCGGACACAACAGCAGACGAGTGTGGCAGATTTCCTTCCAATCTATCGATCCGCAAGGTGACGGGGAGGCTGATATCGCAGGACAGGAAGAACCTGAACTCGTGCCCGCTCATATCAATTAGGGTTTAGAAGAAAGCCTCTAACGAGGAGCTGAGAGTGCGGATGGAATAATCGTCTGCGACCGAGAAATAGAGATGAGAGGAGAGCAGAAGACAAACAGCTGCTTGGTATCAGAATTTGCGCAGGATTTAAGCTATATCTTACCAAACAATACAAACGACCACTGTAAATCCTACGGGGCTGTTTGTACTCGGATGCGAAGCACGGGAAGCCGAAGCAGACACGAAGAAATGGCGACGAGGAAAGGCGAGGAAAAGCAAACCCAGTTTCTCCTCCGCTTTGGATTTGGTAATCCGGGCATCGGCAGGATTATCATAAATCGGCAAGTCTCACGAGTCGCGAACTCTTCTCCTTCTTTGCACGCCGCTGCTTACCTCGATGCCTTTCTCCCGCCGCGACTTCCATTTTATTAAAATATATTAATTAGAAAGTTAAATAACTTTTAATAACTAATATTAATTAATTAAAATATACTAATTTAATTGAATTAATACTATTTATGATTTCATTTTCAAATTTGTTTATTGTGTTTAATTAGTTTTATAAAGTATTAACAAAAAATAATTAAGATATTAATCTCAATCAAATAGAATTGATTAAAATTTGATTAATTAAATTTATATATTTATATTTATAACGTAATTAATATAAATTTTATTATCACTTTGGTATTAATATAATAAGAAGAACAAGAAATTTAGGCTTAGTTTCGAATAGATTTCTTACCACTTACTAAAATAACTTTCTAGTGAGAAATTTTAATTTAAAACAAAATTAATGAATTTTAAATTCCCAAAACCATTATCTCCTCCACAGTTCTAAATCAAAATCCTGCTCAGCACTGACCCTCATCGTCGGCCGCCGCCATGTCATCGCAAGCTCCCATCTCTGCATTGCATGCGCCACCAATGTCCGCCCTCATGGCCCTCATTGTCGATTGCTTAATGTTGGCATGCCAATCTTCCACGCAATTGAAATATATTCTAACAAATATATACAATATTTCAATGCATTTAATTTGCATCATATTAAGACTTCGTTTGGGACGATTTTCTTATTGCTTCTTATAGCAACTTTTTAGTACAAAAGTTTAAGCCGTCCCAACGGAAGCCTAAATAACTCATCTATTTCTAAGTTGAATTCATCTGAATTACTCAATATTTGAAAAAACCATCTATTTAAAAAGCATCCAAGCAAACAAATCCAAAATGAAATAAATGGCTGAATCCTTGAAATGAACCTCTCCAATTACCAATATTGAGAGCAAAGAAGATGGTAAAAATTAAGAGCTGAATTGAACAAGTCTTAAACTACAACCAGAAACAGTAATACAATATTTCTTTGCTAAAAGAGCACACAGAATAAATAGCAAGTCGACAACAAAATGAAATTCCATACAACTCCACTAAGTATTAACCCTCACAGAAACACATATTGCAACTGTTGACTGACCAAAATTTTTGTATCCCCCCTAAAAATCAAAATTCCATCATCACCTTAATATCATAATCTGGAGAATAAAATATCCATTGACCAAAATTCACCAAGGGATGTAAGCTTGAGATCCTTAGTTTGATTCATAGAATCATCTGGAAAAAAAAAAACCATAATTCAATCACTAGAAGATATCCTACTCATAAACAAAGCTTCAAAGATTGCAGAGAAGAACATAAATTTGGAAAACATTCAATGTGGGAAAGAACATGAGAGATTATTCTATGCAGATGCCGAACACAACTCTACATCCAGATACCAATTAAAATGAGCCACGTCAGTGATATCGAGCCTGAGCACCGAGCAGTGCCGAGCCACGGTACAACGGTACCGAACCGCAGGCTTAGGTATCCTGACGGGGTTTGGCTTCCGCACAGAATAATTTTTCAAAGAATAGACAAACTTCACCATTCAAGCAAGGAGAGCACTGAAGAATTGTTCATCCCCGAGGCTACCTGTCTACCTGTCATAGGTCAACAAGAACCAGTATACAAATCTAAGATAGCATTTCAATTAAGTAGAAAGAATTAATCTACAGGATCTGGTTACCAAATATTAAAACAGAATGATCAAATGGGTATAGACATTTTATTATAAAAACAATGCATTTTGATTAGAAGATCCTTGAGAGAACCTCAACCAATTATTTAATTGTTTAGGAATACATTAAGATCTGTGCAACTGTAGCTGCTTGTCATTTTTGTCTGGGTAAAGCTTAATGTAGAACAAAACATGGTACAGTACAAGTGCAGATGAAGCTTCTAAAATATGATGAGGAAATTACAGCACAAAAATCTTATGTATTTACATATTTAATACCTAAATGTTTAGAATTACTTATATAACACTAAAAACTCTAAATCACATAAAAAATATCATAAATATTAACTTATTTAAATTAAAACAAACATATTCATAAATATATTTTGACATAATTTAGACACTAAAGGGATATATAAATAAATATAAAGATCTAGGTGTTAGATATACAAATACATGATATTTTGGTGCTATGTAAACCCCCAAAATATATAATAAATAAAATCTTTATTGTTAATATATGTAAAAAAGTAGTATGCATCCTATCAATATAGGTTTTGTGGAGAATATTATAGACAAAGCCTTATCCCTATATTGTAAGGAGTTATTTTTATGATTCGAATATGTAACATCTGGATCACAATGGAAACAACCTAGCCAAGATCTTCCATTCTCAAATCAATTATTTCTTTATAGATTTCTCATCTCTAGATTAATAGATATAGTTGGCATAAAACTAGCTTAAGTTCATTTTAATCAATTTAAAATTTAACATTCAAGCACAACAAAGTATTGGTTAACAATTATTGTGAAAACTAAACATCTTGTTACAACTAGGAAATATATATTGGCTAGAAATGCAATATCTAAAGGGAAATCAAAATTGTAATCAACACACATAACAGTCGCAAGTGACGGCATTTGAATAGGGTATGTAAAGTAATGGTTGCAGCATTTGAAGAGATCCCGGCATGAAAAGCCACAAAATAGCGACATCAAAATCAATAATGCTAAATAGAAATAGTTATCATGAATAAGGATAGAGTCTCAATTAAACATACCTAACTACAGTATCAAATAAATAGATAAACCATATAACAACAACAACATAAAGTCTTTATCCCACTACATGGGGTCGGCTACATGAATCATTTTGTTATGTTAAGAATCAAATTCTTATTTAAATCTAATAAAGAAAGATCATTTCAAAAATTTTCTAACCAAGCCTTTTTAGGTATATGTTAGGTCGGTTCCTGAACTGACCCAGCCGGCCCCACATGGGCTGGCCTTAGTCTATAGGAGGTGGGGTCAAACCGCCTCTCATGTTTACGCCCAAGCAATAGGGGCCCACGCCCTATTTGATTGCCGCCCATTAATAGTAGGGTCCACTATTTGAATTGATCTATTTGATTTAATCTATTTTTGGCAAGGGGGTTAATCTATTTGATTTAATCTATTTTTTGTAAGGGGATTAATCTATTTGATTTAATATATTTTTGGCAGGGGGAGGGGGTGGGCGGCTAAAGCTATAAATAAGCATGAGAGGGAAGGGATAGGAATGCTTGAATATTGTTTTCTCTTGGAGTCTCTTGGGTGTCTTGGGCACTAGACTTGGTGTCTAGAGTTTGGAAGAGAACAATACTCCTCTCGAATAGAGGATCAATTGCATCTTTTCTTATGTTTGTTTAGCTTTGAGTAAACGGTTATTTTGGGTTGTTTCATTATTGTTCCTGTGTCTTCTCGCTGTTTTTACCAATTTCTTGTTAAAGTTGCTTGCAAAGTCTAGTACATCCGATAGGATTACTTGCAAACTCAAGTATTTCCAATCAATATACCTCTACCTTTCTTAACATAGGCCAAATCTAATACATCTACTCTCCTAACAGGGTATCGAAAGGCCGCCATTTTACATGACCAAATAATATAAGGCGACTCTCTAATCTTATTTGCCACTAGAGCTACTCCAACCTTTTCATGGATAGGCTCGTTTCGTATTCTGTCCAAACCATATAATAACAACCATGTCCAAAAAAATAAAATAAAAGAAAACTTTGCACATACAACTTATACTACACTTGAGCAAATTCAATAAATTTAACATTTGATATGCATCAAGCAAATTAATACAAAAGCATTGTGTTTTCAAAACATCAATTCATAAGTCATCTCAAATAAATATGTTAAACAATGCAACAGATATCTTTAAATCAACAATTAGTAGCGGATACAATCTCATCATTCAAAATAACTTTAATAATAAGTTGTATAGAATTATCTAACAGAGTTGGATGCAAATTAGAGAGTAGAAAGAGAGATAAATCCAAAAAATGACAGCAAGTTCATAAAATAAGGTTAAGACATATACATTTAAAAGAAGCTTAATATTAAGTTTTAATTCGTAGGCCTTGGTTCTAAATTGCTGAAAGATTTTAAATGGCCTTATTTTTCTCAAATTTAATTTCTTAAACATTCATGGGGAAATTTTCTATAATTTAAAAGCACAATTCCTTTCACCAAGTTTCAACTCAACATACCTCAAGTTCACATTTAAAAAAAATAATCTTATAATTGTCATAGTTAGTAGCCAATTTTTCATGAAAATCCTCATGTAATTATCTACATGTTATGCAAATGCATTAAGCCTAAACTTAATAGAAGCTCAACAAGATCTATAAACTATCTAGGTTAAAGCCTTATGACAATCTCAAGACCTATTAACAAATTCTTGCAAGTAAACTCAGCCATACGTAATATTAAATCACACCTAGATATAGTCTTTTATTAGTCAATATAAAATATCTTCAAACTCCTATTTATTACTTCAGTTTGTCCATTAGCTTCTTGATGGCATGCTATAGAGAAGTCACGTTTTGGCCCTATTTTTTCAAAGGAATTAAAAATAAAAATTCATCAATTTTATATATCGATCACTAATAATTGCTCTAGGCAACACATGTAATTTATCCACCACATTAAAATATAATTTTAAAATGTGATATGCAACAATAGTTTTATGATATGATACAGAATGAGTCGGGATTGGAAAATGATCTATCATCTATGATGCACCGACAATTCTCATCAAAGGGATATGCAGTATCTGACAAGTATCGGACACAACAAGCCTCTAACACGCGTCGGATACGCTGAACACGTGTCCAATAAAAAATAAGTGGACACACATCTTAAATATTTCATTAAAATTTTTAAAAATACTTTTTTGTATTTTAATTTTTTTATTTATTTAAAAAAAAAAGTAAACTTTTTATTTTCACTCCACAACCCCAAATAAATCGCACGTACTTAGTATCTCAATCCCCGAACATGCCAATTTTCATTTCCCTCTAGCAGGTTACGACTATGGTTTCACAACGATGCACGATGTCATCTCTTCGATGTCGTTACAACATCAATGTTTTAAAACAATCTCAGCATTAAAGTCTAATGCTATCTTGACATTGATGCTCAATTTCAACAATTTCTAGGCCAAGAATCAAGCCATGCACCATCTCGACATCTCATCTTTGTCCAACGTCATCTCTATATTAGCAACCGATGTCATCTTAACATGGAGGGCCAATACTGTCTCAACATCGATGTTCAATGACCGTTGCACAACATCAATGCTCGATTCTCGACAACATTGTCATCTCCGCTCTCGATGTCTGACACGACATCCACGTCCACCTCTTAACATCCTAACATTAATCATTTTAAGCTCAGATCATAATTAAATGATTTATTATTTCTCAATTATTCTTCATATCCAGCTTATTCAATTTCAACACACTATTTTTTAGATCTAAAAATTATAACACCATGTCTAACTCATATCTGTGTCCTACAGGGATGGATGTAGTGTGGGGGCACTGGGAGCACGTGCCCCCACAGCCCCATTAAGTCAGTAGCCACAGGAATTAATTTGGTAATATATTATATATTAATATCATTTATTTATCATTAATTACAGAATAAACTAAATAAATGATTTACTTTTTTCATCCCTAATGCATTAAATATTCCACTTTTCCCCAAAACTTTCCTGCTGGCAACTATCCCGTCCCGCTTTGCTTCTCATCTCACACGCTAATAGGGACTAGGGAGACTATTCAGTAACTAGAGAGAAGCCCGAACGGCCGAATGAGACTCCGCCCCTGCCGCCCAGTTGCCAGTCGTCGACCGGCGGTCACGCACAGTCCGTCGTAAGAATTCTGAATCGTTTTACCTAACTACTAGCCTAGTCTTCAAGTTATTTATCTTAACTTTTGAGTTTCAATTGAAAATTGGAATGAAAAAAAACTGATTTTTTGTGTGAAATTTTTCAGATTTAACTAGGAATCAAAAGCTTCGGATCTCATTATCTTAAGATTTTTTTTTTTTTTGAAGCCAGACATAGCTTTATCGAAATTTAGATCTTCTAGGCACCGGCAAAATACTTGTTTCAAATGAAAGAACAAATCACAAAATCTGTTTAAAGCAGAAAATTATTTCTTTTAGATCATGAGTTTAAGTCAAATATTTTATGATTTATTGTTTACAGATAAAAATATATTTAATGATTATTAGCATTTTTTCTATGAATGCTCGACTTTAAGAAAAAAAAAAAGCTTAAAGGCAGGGGTGAAGCCAGGATTTTAATCATGTGGGGGCACAAAATTTTAAATTATTTAAAACCCCTCAACCTTTTTCATCCGGACTTGGAACCTGCATTGGTGGTTTAAAAAAAAATTTTAATCGTTAGATTCATTATAAAAAAATAATATATATAATAAAACAAAAAACTTACATATCATCTATAATTTCTCCCGCATAGTCTTTATTTTTTGAAATCGTTGTACAATCAATTCATTGTTGATACTATTGAATATATCTTTTTCAATATAAGTAAACAATCATTCATCCAGGAGTCTCCTATACAATTGC